CAGCCCGTACTGTCTTTTTAAATCCAAAACTAACCTCTCCAAAGGCAAGCTCCCAAGTTCTAATATTTGAAAGATTTCATGAACAAGCTTTTTTGGGGGAGAAGAGTTTCCTTTTAGTTTATTTTTTTGTTTCTTTGTTGCTTTCTACTCTGTTTTCTACTTTTTATTTACTAATAGTTGCAAAACTAATATGTTTAACAAATCAAACAATCTGAAAGTATACATACAAGTGAAATGTAATAGTCTTTCTCATCTCATCTCATCTCATCTCATCTCATCTCATCTCATCTCATCTCATCTCATCTCATCTCATCTCACCCTGGGATTTCAGTGTTAAAAGTTGGTGTGTGTCCATCCACATATTTCTTTATAACAAGCTTCTGCAGATACCCCTGGGCCTAGATTTCCATAAGCACATCCAGCTCTACCTGTTAGGTAGAACCATACAAAATTGCTATTTTTTACAGGTCCCCACTATTCTTTAATATCAACCCTCAAATGGAGCCTGACACTAAATTTCCTGTTTTATACTCATGACTTTCTCATTCCTTCTTGTGTTTGCTTTTGCTAGTTAACTTTTGATGGACACCCTCCATTCCCACCCCAACTCTACTCTGCCTGGATGTTTTCTACCTGCCCTTCAAAGACATGCATCCTTCAGCTTCTTAAACTCCTTTTACATTCAGTGTCTAAATCGAATATTCTGATTGCCTAGATAACACAATTTAGTATTTCAGTATTTATATACTATGTAATACAGATGTAAGATGTTTTGGGTTTTTTCTCTAGTTGTTTCATGTTCTGCTCTTAACTAGACTTAAATGCCTTGCAGAGAAGTTCTATGTTTAACATATGTGTATTTAATCAAGTGCTAATCTAAGGAAATAAGAGAAATTGTAAAAGTTTGTTCATTGAATTTTTCACAGTGTAAAGTCCATTTTTTCTTAAGATCATTCATCAATCTGATATTTGCTAATGCTTCAGACTAGAGATTTTCAGTAATATTACTTTTTCTTGATAATGAATTTTAATTACAGGAGCATTTAATAGAATGGAAATCAGTTATGCAAATAACCTCATACCCTACATCCCAAAACAAACTGTATTCTGAGAAAACTTATGTTAACAAAATTTAGAGTCATTCCCAAGACTATTAATGATACTCATGTTACTTTGTCGCAGCATGATAAGTATTCAGTGATTTTGTTATGAAAATTCAATTTAGTCTTCTTGAGTTTTTTTTTTAGTAAAAGTCTAATAAAACATCAGTAATCATTTTTAGATCTTCATTCTTAATGTTTGTACAGCTAGTGCTGATATTACTTAGATTAATATTATTTTATCAATATTTGTAATTACTTCCTGTAGATTGTGAAATTTTCTTTTTGGATGATATTTAAGAGTTTTTTTTCATGAATCTTTAAGAAGTAGATAATACAACCCTTTAAGGTTACTTAAAATAGATTTTCCTGTTAAGCATGAATTTACCCATCCCTTCCGGCCCCCTCTCACCTGCTTGATTTCCAGTGAATGTTATTTCCACATGTGCACATAAGTGTTGATCAATTAGTTCCAATTTAATGTTGAGTACGTGTGGTGTTTGTTTTTCCATTCTCATGATACTACACCTAGAGGAATGGTCTCTGGCTCCATCCAGATCAATACAAGGGGTATTAGTTCAATTTTTATGGCTGAGTAATACTCCATGGTATACATATACCACATTTTATAAATCCACTCATGTATTGATGGGCACTTGGGTTGTTTCCACATCTTTACAACACGTAACTAGTAACAATGCACACTAGCTAAGGGATAGACACACTTACAACCCTGACTCAAACCGTACAAAGGCAATTTATGTAACCAAAACGTTTGTACCACCGTAATATTCGGAAATAAAAATAAAATAAACACTGCTGAATATTAAAAAAAAAAAAGATTCTCCTTGTTAAAAAAACAATCTCCATCTAGTGGACAAATTTTTATATTACAACATACAGGGAAAATAGCAAAGGCTCTTGCCTATTCCGTATTTTTTGTTTTTTTACTTATTGCTTTGTTCTTTGTTGTTAATATTTTATCTTATATTGTTAAATGTTAAATGTTTTAAGGTATTTAGCAATATTTGTTCCAAAATATATAGTGGAGGGTCCCTGTAAGTTAAGACTTGCTTAATTAAATTGGAAAAATTATAATAATAAAAAATACAAATTATTGATATTTTAAAATTCAGTACTCAATTGAACTAAGAAAAACTAAATTAAAATCATATTTATATCTCCTACATTTCTGTTCATGCATAATAAGGAGATGTTACTTTCTCCTTTTTATTTTACAGTAAGAACATCTTGACATTAAAGGGCAATCAACATAAATCATTTTATATGTATTCACATTATTAGGTCCTCCTCATGCTGAAGAGCTGCCATGACTCTCTTGTTAGAAAAGAAATCTTCTTCTATACTTCCACTAGACAAAAGTCTTTAATGTCTTCCAGCTATACATTGAATATTTTCAAAAGCCCTCTTTATCTCCCTCCCTCCCTCCCAGAGTCTGGCTCTGTCGCCCTGGCTAGAGTGCAGTGGTGAGATCATAGCTCACTTCAACCTCAAACTCCTGGGCTCAAATTATCCTCCTGCCTCAGCCTCCATAGTAGCTGGAACTACAGGCAGGTGCCACCACATTCAGCTAATTTTTCTATTCTTTTTGTAGAAAGGAGGTCTCACTCTTGCTCAGGCTGGTCTTGAACTCCTGCTCTCAAGCAGTCCTCCTACCTCAGCCTCCCAAAGTGCTAGTATTGCAGGTGGAAGCCACAATGCCTGACCCCAAAGCCCTCTTTAAATATTACTCCTCCATGAAGACTTCTCAGATATCCCAGCCTGAATTAATTACTCATCCTTTATTTTTGTATCTTAGTGTGCTCATAGTAGGTGCTTAATAAATACCTATTTAATTAAACATATCTAAGAAGTGCTTGCCTGGGATCCCTAATATGCCTATTTAATGGCCAGAGACCCTTCTTGCCTTCTGGCCTTCCTAAGGATTGTCAAAGTCTCACATATGTGAGTGCTTATCCTATTCAGGTGAAACAGTTACCCCTCATCTGAGTGTCAAAGAAAATTACTGCCATATATTTATGGTTTATATGATTATGCAATAGAGTTAGAAGAACTTCAGGAATAATAGATTATTAAATCCAGTTAGCTCAGTGACTTGTATCTTTGTCTGTAAAATGAATCTGTTCAACTAGGTAATCTCTCATTGTCTTTCCAAGACCAAATAAAATCATGTAGAAAATAACACAAGTCTAACAAAATTTTAAATTGGAAAACATGCTTATGACTGGCCAAGCTAGATTATGAGTTTTTCCTCTTTTATTTAATGGATTGATTTGGAGTTACTGTTATATGATCATAGACTAATTCATGAAACCTCAAGCCTTATTTTTCTACTTTGGCCTCCAATTTTTAGTTCTTAACTCTATTTAGGAATAAGTCCAATAAAGAAAACAAAAGGATGCTTTAAAATTAGCTGGTTAATAGCTTGCATAAAGATTCTACTGGGGAAAATGTTGATGACAACTAAACTTGAATTCATTTGTTTATTCACTCAACAATTTTTTAAAAAACCATATACCTATTGGACTATCTTGAGCTATCACCCACCTCTCCTAAGAACACATGAGAGTTGACTTTAATACTGGTTCATGTTTCACTAGAAAAACTTTGTGGAAAGTTTATCTGGATTATAAAGACTATGATGTTAAGTTTGTGGGGGTGGGATTCCTCAACTCTAAAATTTGTATTGCCGATCACAGTGCCTTTCATTGACTTAAGTTATTTAAACCACTTGGTAAAGTTTTTTGAAGAGCTATATCAAGTGTCAATAATACCCAGATTCTCCATTCTCAGAGAGCTCACAATCTAACAATAGAGACCAGATGATAGAAATTTTCAATTCATTGTAAATTCTGTTAACAGGGAAGGAGTGGGCAAGTGTCTGGGGAGCATAGAGAAAGGGTGTTTCGTGAAGGTTCCATGGTGTAATAATGGTGAGCACTCTGGACTCTGAGAAAAGGCATTTCACAAAGCTTTGGGGTGTCAGGGCAGCTTCCAGGTGAAGGCTAAGTCCTCCAGGATGGAGCACTACTAGGCAGGGGACAGGGAGGTTGGGTGGCTAGAGGAACAGAAGGTTAGGTGGGGATATCCTGTGACAAGGAGGTGGTGGTTCAGTGAGGGCAGCAAGAATACCGAGGGAAGAGGATAGCAAGCTGAGGCTGGGAAGACAATTAATTGTATTATAATTGAGCACAGATGGTTAAGCCTTTCAGTCTAGCCAAGAAATCCGGACTTCATCCTGAGCATAATAGTGAGTTACTGAAGGATTTTAAACTGAAGAATGACATAGTCAGATTTGATTTTAAGAAGAATCACACTTGGTACAGGGTGGAAAATGAATTCAAGAGACTAATATAAAGGCTATTATAATAATGGTCAGATTTGGTGAGTTGGTAGTGGGGATGGAGGGAAGTGGTACAGCAGAAATTAGTGATTGAATAGGGGTAGCGGGAAGGTAGGAGGAGAATCCCATGCTTAGGGGACTGATGCATGGGCACATAAGGGGCAGTTGTTGAATTGAACTCAAATTCTATTACTCAATTACTATGTAATTTTTATTTTCCAAAAAGGAATTCTTCACTTAAAAGACTATTTTTTGCACAATGGTTCCTTTATAAGTGGTGTTGAGTTTAAGAATACCTATGTCTTGTATCTGGTCAGTTAATAACAGTATTGAAAAGCTCAGGAAAAGAAGGTGAAGTATGTTTTTTTTTTTACTTTTGTCTATTTCAGTATTATCATTTTGTAACAGCAGGAATCATCTGTAAATTTGATTCCTGCTAATTCCACTGTCAATTCCTAAACAGAAGCTAAATCCTTTGCTAAAACATCCACAGGCAAATGTTCACAGCCACATAATTCCTTCTCCTTCATTTCCAGTTTTGACGTGGACAATGGCACATCTGTGGGACGAAGTCCCTTGGATCCCATGACCAGCCCAGGATCTGGGCTAATTCTCCAAGCAAATTTTGTCCACAGTCAACGCCGGGAGTCCTTCCTGTATCGATCCGACAGCGATTATGACCTCTCTCCAAAGTCTATGTCCCGGAACTCCTCCATTGCTAGTGATATGTAAGTATAAGGGTGGGCAAAAACAAGAGGGAGCTCCTATAGAAAATCAAGTACATTTAAATCTAGAGTTGATAATGTGATAAATAGGGGTAGCGGGAAGGTAGGAGGAGATGATTTTTGTTCAACTGCATCATTCCCTCTATTACAGAAAAAAATAATAAAATTATACAAGCTACAAAATGAATGATAGATTTAACTTGACTATACTGTCATTCTTGATAAGAAACATTTATTTTCCCAGAAAATACATTGCCGGAGAAAAGTGAGAATTAAATTTTAATGGTAAAATAACACTTAAATCATTAGTTTAGATTTATGTAGGAACTGAGTTTTAGCTACTTAGCCACATGGATATTTTTTAATATTTTGAAAAGCTTTAAACTCACTTTGAAAATCCCTGTGATATTAGAGTGGATAGCATTTTGAATATATTTCAATTGATGTACATAAAAGTGTTAGCATTGGCTTGCCTGATCATTTGAGAAATCTTTGTGGGTTTTGCCCAAATTAAAACAGTTTTTAAATATGAATCACTAGAGGCAAACACAGAAAATATTAGACAGACTTGAATATCATTTAAGACATGACACAGTTTGGAAAATAATTAAAACTGACAAGCAGGTTTGCAGATCATAGACCAGCAGTAGCTTACTTTCTCAGTGCATTCCATTCTCATGTTTACTGTGGTGTTCCTATTTTTTTTTTTTTTATGTTCAGGAGGCTTCTCGATAGGTCCTTCCTCTCACTCAATACCTACACTGTTATTTGTGGTAACTCTGCCTCTGCATAAATTTATCCTCCACTTTCCTCCTTTGGATCTATACATTTGTCCAATAACATTCACCACGTCTCATGATACCACCTCAAAAACTCATAAGAGGTTGCAATTCATCTTATAGGAATTTGGTGGAAGGGTGCAGAAAATACCAGGCTAAGGGAACATTTGCTAAAAGGGAGGCATGGAAAATCATGACTCAATTAAGGAATGACAGTCTTCTTGGTGTGAATTGCAAAACATGGCACGAGATAAAAGAGATTTAAGTACAGTCTATGGGACCCAAGAAACACAGAGGTTTTTAGCTGAGGTTTAGCATGATTACATTCTTATTTTTATTGCATCCTTATTACTATGTTTTTGAATGATTGCATAATGAAGTGACTATAGGGAAGTGGTTCATGTCCAAATTCACAGAAACAAAGCAGGCTAAATATGATGATGATCTAGATCAAGGAAGTGGCTGCAGAAGGAAGAGGTTGGTTGAGAGGCAAGAGGCTAACAGAATGTTGTGTGTAATTGTGTGTGTGTGTATGTGTGTGTGTGGCAGGGGGTGGGTTGGGAAGCACAGCCAGAGGGGAAGGAGAATCAAAGAGAATGCTAAAGCTTTGACCCTGAATGAGTAAATAGATGGTGATGTTAACAGGAGGAACAAAGAACAGAGAGAGGACAACACAAGGGCAGATATTAGGTAATGAATTTGACTTTTGCACGATGAGGCTGAGGAAATGAGACAATAGTTAAACTACAAGGACAGAGAGCAGAAATAACAGTCCAGAGGTCCTGGAGAAATTAGAAGAATCAATTACTTTTTATAATGACTACGTCTTAGAGTGAGAACTGAGTGGAGCCTCTTATTCAGGTAATAGGATTGGGAGCCGGGTGGGTTGAGGAGTGAATTGAAAGCAGAGATATGAGCAAGTGCACACATCTCTTTAGAAGGTTCATGAGTAAAGTGGGGAAAGTGAGCTTAGGCTGCGTGAGGGAGAATTAAGTTCAAGGGAGAAGTTTTTTGAATTCAGGATCCTTGAGCTGAGGGAAGGCTCCAGTAGATAGAAGGAGACTGAAAACTCAAGAAAAAAAAAAGGGTTAAAGATGAATCTTTAGTTGCTGACAAAAATATGATCATGAGCTCAAGTAAGGAGACTATCCTTGGAAAAGTAGTAAAGAAAAGTATTGTATTATTTAGGAAGAAAGAAGAACTAAGTGAAAAAGGGAAATATAAATTTAGAGATGGAAGGGTAAGATGTTTGAGAATTGAGGGTAATAATCCCTACTTTTTTCATTAAAATAGAAAGTATGCCATCAATAAGCAAAGGAGAGAGAGATTAGGCAGCTTGAGAAGAAGGGGGACGGCTTTAAAAAAGCCACTATGCAGATCAAAAAGGGGAATAGAATAGAGGTGAGTGGAATAGTGAACAGCCCCATGGAGAATGACAAATAATGTTGAATGGGTGAAGGACCAAGTTGAAAGTCATCCAGTCCAACTTCATCAAAGGTGAAACAACTTTGGTATAGATAGAGACAAGGGAAAAACCCATGGTGAGTTAGTAGATTCTATTTACATAGTTATGTGTTCTATTTTTTAATTGTAGTAAATTGATTTTAGGGTACCAGTGTACAGATTGTTTCATATCCTCTACTCAAGTCATTAAATACTAAATATACACATGTATTTTATGAAAAGCCTACATTTCATATTGAAATAGTACTTTTTTATTTCCAAACCAAACTTACAAGGATGACCTCAGTTTGCTGTATACCTCAAAAGTTTCTTTATCTGATTAGACTCGCATAGGAATGATGAGTTCCATCAGACCATGATGCAACTCTTTATAGTGTAGAAAAATAGTGTGTTGACATGTTTAGCTTTTCCATTCCCCCTGGGTATTTACATTGGAGCAATACAGTTTTCCTTTGACACTGACTGACTCCTGGAAGGCAATCTTTCTACCAGAGAGAGTAAGACTCTGTGGGAAGAAAGGTAAATAGAATAAATAATTACTCTTTCAATATTCAATCTGATACTACACATATCTTCTACCATAAAAGATTATGCTTGCTCTTCCTTTGACTTCTCATGTGGCCATGTGTAAATCTCAATTGTCTTACCTTACCTAGTTCATGATAACGCTGTGAGGATTGTCCAAAGTCTATAATTCAACTGTTCTTTACAGGAAATGGCATTACTGCATATTTTAAACACTTGATGATTTTATACCTATTGTTCTAGTTAAGCTTTCCTACTGAGAAAATCCCTTAGAAATTTCAAATACAAACAGTACCAAATGAAAGTTTGTAATTATCTATTTGAATGAACTGTTCTAGAAAATCTTTAAATGCTCTTTAAGTAATATATAATTGTTTAATATATTGGGAAACTAAGAAGGAAAATAATCACTTCTTAGCTGATAGGATGTCATCATCTTACCTTCTATAAATACATACCAGTGAAATAGCTGAGGGCAAGAAGAAAGTAAAACCAATAATGGTAGCAATAACAGCACACATTATATGTGTATATCACCATTATTTTTCCAAGTATTTTTACATCAACTATCTCATTTTATACTTTCATAGTCCTTTTGATAGGGACCATTATTATGCCATTTTACAGAGTATGGACCCAAGATCCAGTGAGCTTAATCTTTATTGAAAGCATAAAAAACATTTTGATCATTCTAGAAGAACATTATTTTGATAATGCCATTGTAAACTGCTATACACTACTGCTGCAAAAACTGCTGAGAAATGGAAGTACTTGTTGAACAAACCCATTTGGCCAAATGAATTATTTAGCACTATAAAAAGTTGGTTAAGAATAAAATAAGATAAAAGCTCACACAAGTAACAAAGCAAAAATGCAGCCAGCTCTTAGAAAATATATACAAGTCTATAAGACTAAGCTAAACTCTGAACCTAAAAAATTATCTTTTATAAGGCAGAAGAGAAGTTCCTGGCAGCTTCAGTCAGAGACCGTCACATAGTTTGTTACATATAAATGAAACAGTAGCAACTTAATTCTTAAGAAAAATAAGAAAGAGAAAATGTTAAGTATTAGCATGAGTATAGTAAATATTAATAAATAAATACATGAAAAATAAATTTGAACTACTATTAATAGTAAAAAAATTTTTGTAACAGTAGAAACAACTAGATAACGGAAGGTTGCCCAAGTGATGTCATGAAGAAACATGAAGAAAATTACAGAATAAACATAATTACACTTTTATCTCTCCGGTATTTTTAGCTTTTTGAAGAACAGTTACTTGTTGTACATCATCTAATAATATAGTGTGTGTATTTGGAAACATACAAAGGTATGAAACATTGCAACGATAAAGAGGAGAATTAGCAGTGACAAGAAAAATAGAATTTAGTCATAAAACTATAAATTTATTGAATATAAGCAAACCACTTAGGTTTTTAGAAAAATATGGTAACTAACCCTCTCTTTGCCATCCTCTGTGGAATGAACACTAACATACAGATGCCAAAGATGATCCAAGCAGCTCTTTACCCAGATTGACATACTTTACTCTTACATACAGAATATGGGGTAGGGGAAATGTGTGCAGAAGGAGCAATGAGGAGGAGTGAGTACACTCAATATATCATAAAAAGCTGGGATGACACACCTGGGGGTGTAGCTCACTTGTCCCTATGCACCATTCAGACTTTTAGGACCTTATTGATCAGGCCTCTGGAGTGCCTCATGGGGACATTCTCTCAGCTAGTGGGCAGTATCCCTCACACCCATCTCAAACTACTGCCCTTTCTTTAGCAGTTACCAAGTCCCTCACCACCTCTTGAGCCTCTAACATGGGTTTTCAGTTGTAGCCATTCCTCCCCACTTCTTTGCCTACTGCGTAAAAGGGTGATAGTACGTCTCATGCTGACCTTGAAAGAGGAAGAAGGATTGCCTGTATGTCTATTCGTATCTTTTATTCCAGGATACGATATTCTTCCTTGGTCTTACCAGGGTATCTCCAAAAGTATAATAAAAAGATATGTTGCATTACAAAGGTTCTAGTTGTCACTGGAACTCCATGAAAAGTTTGTAGCTCCTTCCTAGCTAGCTTGTAGGTTTCAAAATCATATCAACTTGCCATTTGAAAGCTTTCTTCCATTAAGTAAACACAGAAAGGTACCACGGCCAAATCATCCCTTCCCCAATTCCTGGGTGCTCCCCACTGAGTGGGTGTCCTCTTCCCCCACTCTAAGG